TTTCCATTGGAATTTCGGTTGTATTTTAACGGTTCCAACGGTAAATTTTCCAACGAGGGTGGAAATAAAAATTTCAATGGAAATTTCTACGGTAAAAAGCTGTGGAATCATCAAATTCCATCTAAAATTCAAATGAAAAATACATTCCAACAAAATATTTTTGTTGAAATTTTTATTGGAATTATTCCAACGGAAGCTATACAATTGGAGTATCCGTTGGAATTTCCATTAGAATATATTATCATACGATTTTTCGTTGGAATATAACATTATTTTTGTAGTGATATTACCGTAGTATATTCCGTTGGAATATAACAATTTTTTTTGTAGTGTGGTTCCTAAATTGCTTTATTTTTTTATTTATGATTCATTTATTAATAATTTATTTATAATTTTATTTTAAATATCCATATAATTACAAAAGCTTTTCAAAAAGTGCAGGTCTAAGTTGCATGTGTGTATGTATCAGTGGTGTTGAGCTTGGAAGCCATTACCGTTATTTAATTCGCATTCAATCTCAAGGTCAGTTGGTTTTATGTACACAATTATTGTATTTTGAATTTTGACGATGTCGCAATTAGTGTGCTTTGTGTTGGTTTCTAGAACTTGTATGTATAAGTATTCCAAAATTTGACAATGTTTGTTACAATTGGTTGAAATTAGTGTTGTCATCCAACCCAAAGGAGTCGAATTTGAGCATTTTGACTTCGTGTTCGAACATTGTTTGTGGCCATTTGTTTATCATTCGAATAAAAAATAGTATCCGAACTCGTTTGTTTAATTATTCGTAAAAGTTAGAGTCCGCTCATATTCAAATAATTTAGTAAACAACTTTTTTAATTAAAATGTTTGATCAACTCGAGTATGTCGTTCAAACTCGTACGAGCTCGAGACTTAAAACTAAAACAGATAAAAAAATTGATATTTTATTAATCATTAAATACATAACACACACACACCCACATATATATAATAAAACTATATTCAAATAATATTCGTGAAGATTATCGAATGTTCGTGAACGAGCTTGTATTCATTTTAGTATATTAAACTAGCCTAATTTTCTTTTCTAACTTGATCGATTAACAAATGAATTACCTCTTGCCAGACACAGACGGGCTCGAACGAGCTTCTATCCACGAACATTCGATTTGTTAATAGCCCTAGTTGAAATACAACAATTTTTTAGTACTTAATTGGAGTCGGTTCTTAAATTAAAATACGCGGTGTTATGAAAAGATTTGCTCATCCTATTAGTTATTGTCCAGGCTTCGACATGGATTTGCCTTTTGTAACGTATGACTTAAAATGCATGTACTAAGTTAGAGATAGATCTAATTTAGTAACTGTTTGTAATCTCGTGTGTGAACAACGTGGAAATTTATGACTTAAAATGCATGTACTAAGTTAGAGATAGATCTAATTTAGTAACTGTTTGTAATCTCGTGTGTGAACAACGTGGAAATTTCTGGGTCACAGCACACTCACATCACAATATTACAGATAACATTTCGTAGTATAGATATCATCGCATACAAACATATTGTAGTACCTCATGCAAACATATGAATATGTATTAATATATATGTATTAAAGGCAACTCTTAATTCATCCTATGGAGCATATCTATACTTATATTAAAGGGGATACTATTTACCAAATTAAGTAGCCAGAAAAGTCAACAGCATTTATTGCATTACTATTTCCGTATTATACTATATAAAATGATATTCTATTTACTACATTTACTATCCAGAAAGTCAACTGCATTAAATGTCATTACTATTTTGGTATTATAATATTCTATTTATTTAATTGATTTATTTATTTGTTTTATTTTAAAAAGGTAAGTATAATAAAAAGATTTTAATAATAAAAAAATCAAATACCAAATAAAAATGTACACTTTGACTTATTTGATTATATTTGGTATTTGATTATACCAAATATATTCCTATTTAGTATATACATTAAATACTTACTAAAATATTTATTTGTTTTATTTGTCAAAATTAAGTATAGATTTGTTTATATTATCAAATCATAAAAAAATATTAAATCCATATTGTAAAAAAAAAAAAATCATATAATTTTATAACAATTCTACTACACTATTTAACAATATTCCCTTTTTATTATATAATAAAATAATAATTAAATATTATATGGTGAACAACAATAAGTAAAACTGTTACTTTCTCTTATATCAAGGGATAAATTTATATGCTAAAATTAAATTTTTATTAGTATAAATGTTTTAGTGAGATAATATATTAATTATTTTACAAGCTAGCCCTAACATGCTCATATTTAATGTTTTAAAAGATGTAGAAAAAAAAAACTTATAATAACTCTATTTTTTTTAGACTTGAACTTTGATTAAAAGAGGTAAAAATTCCTAATTTTTTAAACTTAAACGTTGATTAACACCACAGATTGAGAGTTTATATTTAGTAAAATTCATAATTTTAATAAAAAAATAATTTTTGCTATATTTTAGAATATCTTTAAATTCATTATAAAAAAAAGAAAAAAAAACTACAATGAAAAAAGCAAGTTAGCTATATATCGATTTGTTGTATTCCTCAAACCACATTCACAATTTGGCTACAAGGAAAGTAAACTCATTGATTAAAATATTATTTTGTCAGTAGTCTTAATGTACAAGAGACTTTAAGACTCCACTTGAATATTATAAAATTTTTATTGAACATTGTACAATTTTCTTGCGTATTATAAACTTTTATTGAATATTGCATTATTATAATATAATATTTTCCAAATAAATATATCTCGTGCTTCGCACGGGTCACGTACATTTTTCTTTATTCATGTATATAATTATAAGCCTGGATAAATAGTCTTAAAATTGTGCAGTCCGTGCATCGCACGGGCTCTATACTAGTACATATAGACAGATAGAGAATTACATTTACATTCATCAAAATATAACGGTTTTAGTCCATACCTATAAAGTATAGATTTTGGTAATAAATTGATTCGGGCCTCTATATTAAACCGTCACACTTCCATTTCATTATTGGTTTATTTATAATATGTTTTTTACTTATCTTATTTTTTATTCTTATTGAATTCTTTTAATTACTGTAACTTTCAATCACACGGAAAAAAAAAAGTAGTCAAATTGTAATAATATTACTATACATATTAAACTAAAACTTTCATTCACATTATATAGTCAATACACATCGTTTTTATATATTTTCATAACACTAAGTGCTTATCACAATTACACTAGTATTCGACCTGTGCATTTGCACAGATATAAATAAATTATTGTGAGTTTGTATGCATATAATGATTAATTATTTTTCTTTCACTTTTTTGCAGACCAAATTTATAATTAAAAGAGTTGGAATATTTTTTTTTTTTAAAATTGCGTTTATCTGATTAGATGTAATGTATATTTTGGTACGTTTTTTATTTGTGAATTATTTATTATTTATTTAGGAATTTCAAATATATTTTTTATTTTTAAGAAAAAAATTAAATGTAACAACAATAATAACATCTAATCACATTATACGGTCAACACATTATATGGTCAACTGTCATTAATAAAAAATTTAAAATGATTTTTGTAATTTTGAAGTGATGAGTATTAATTATTTAATGATTAAATGAAAGATTAAATACATCAAAATGTAACGGTTTTTGGAGGGAAAATTATTAAATTGCCACATAGGTAAAATTAAATAGGTTTTATTAAATGTTTTGAGCTAGTAATTATATATATATATAGATTAAATCAAAACTTTCATTCACATTCTACAGTCAATGTACATCGTTATATATTTTTCATACCATTAGGTGCATTATACTATCATTCTTATGATGTGCCTAATTCTATAGATGTAACTACACTTGTTTTACATATGATCCAATTAATTTATATAATTTGTAAATGATGTAGATTTAGTATATTTAAATAATACATATCATCCAATATTATGTTCGAGATGTACAATGGATCCACGGCGGTTCAAGTTTGGTTTTGGCTAGAATTGACAGATCGTATTATCATGCGTGTAATCATGTTCGTATTCCACTCTCATATTTCCATATTATCTACTTTATTTGATACAAAGATAATAATAAGTTTGAATGTAACTATTACTTTACATTTTATTATCGTATCATATCTTAAAGCATATCATATCATGTTGTGTTTATAACTTCATATTACAATTATTACCTTACTTTGTGCAACTATATCATACTTAAAGTTATATCATCTCATATCATATCGTGTTCGGTCGTAATTTTTATTTTGTAGTATTAAATTCGTCATATTTCAAGTCATTTTACATCATGTTATCGTGTTCATCGCTTTATCATCATAATTCCTCATATTGTATATAACATAAATGCAGAGTTTCTCGAACTCATGTGTCAACTTCAATTGATTTGCAATCCTATACGTATCTATGATACTTCGTAATCTTGTATCTCAAACAATGATGCTTATTAGTAGTCCATGTAGTTTTGGATTGTTATCCATGTCAATTATAACTTTTAAAATTTCAAAACATTTTATCAACTTAAATTATAAACATATTTTAGTTTAATATTTTTGTATTTCTTATCAAAATTTGATTTATGATATATCAAAATAATCATATTTTGAGGATATTCGATTTGACTTCCATACGACATATATACAATTTTTATATCTCTATTTATAAATAAAAATTAAATTATCAAATTATACACTATATTCTAATTATAAATTAATAAAAAATTATCAAGCTTATTCTATGAATGAATTAAGTTATAAGCTAAAAAAGATAAGTATAATATAAAATATGACGAAGTGTCATTCTAAATTAAAAAAAAAAATGTTTTTGAATTTTTTTTTTGTTTTTATTTATTTTGGGTCGTGATCCGCCGTAATTATCCAAAGTACATTTCAAACACAATAAAGGTGGGGACCGCCACGTGGCCCACCCGTATAAGTCAAAATCACACATCGAATTTGTCAAACATCGCCGGCTAGCTGCTCGCTGCTTGTGCCACAATTCTCCAATTCCTTTGCTCGCAAATCACTCTCTATAAAAATCAATCGAAAATGCGGAAATTCGCAGCTGAAAAAACCAGACATCTTTTAGCCCACTGGAAAGTTTCCGCCGCCGTGTCGCAGCATCCCGCCGCCCCGCTTTATTCGTTGTCTTCTCTGCAAAAATCGGATTCCCTTTTCTCCACCGCCGTTCTTCTGCGCCGTTTGAACACCGTAGCTGATAAACCCAATCCATCATCCGAGGCGTCTTCTGGTTCTATGGCTTCTGATTATTCGTGTACACCGGTTAAGATCGATTCGATCAATCCCAAGGTGAGGCTGCGCGCGGGCCTTGATTAGTGGATATGGATTATGGCTTTTTTTTTTTAAAAAAAAAAAA